CTGAGGATCCCCAGTGGGCCCCCAACCGCAATGCCCCGATAACTGTCGCAGCAGGGGACGCGTCCCNCTTTTTGTATACGGGGAAAAGGGTGCTAGTCGTGAATAATCAGCTCGCGGATATTCAGCTCCGTATATGCGGTTGCATAGCACCGTTAAGTAAGGCGCCAACACAAACACGGGCCGCTGCCCTTCACTCTCCCTGATAGCGTACCTATAATACTCGGCCGGGGTTCCCTCCAGGCCCACGGACAGGCTATGTTGCGCATGGCCTTGAGACCGCTAACAATTTCGCCCTCCGTAAAATCCTTGTTAAGCCAAGCAACCAATTCCCGTCGGTGCATCACCCGGTCCTCATCCTGCCATTTAAACTGTATACCCTCGTTTGCAGCCTTGCCTCACGTTTCCCGCACCATTAAGCACCTTGGAAAAATGCTCGGTAAAAGCATTAATATCTGAGATCCAGCAAGGAGGTGGTTTTCCCCCACGCAGCCATGTCCACAAGCTGCGTGGGTTGGACAGGGTGGCCTTAATCCTCCTCCGCATATTTTCCATTTCGGTCTCCTGAATAGCTGCCTTCCTAGTAGCCTTCTTAAAGACACGGTGCTTGGCCTTCCAGGTAGCCCTATGAATGTCCGGCAGCTTGCCCGAGACGGGGTCCCTGATCTCTTTACGGAAACTCATCATATCATTCCGCACAGCGGCACAGTCCTCGTTCCACCAGTCACGCTTCACAAAATTCACCTTTCCCCATGCAACGCCGAACATCTCCCTAGCACACGTCCCGATTAGGGTGCGCAAGTCATTCATGCTTTCATCACAAGAGGCCCCTTCTCCTTGAGTTATCCTGTCCTCCACACACACAGACACACGCACGCACACACAAGCACCCTCTCTCTTCCCAACGCATCCACCCACCTTGTCCACAGCCACCCATCGCCCCTTCTCCCCCCCAAGCACACACACACACAGGTACATGAGCGTCTACTCATGTACCTGTAACACGGCTCGTTCCACAGGCTGCCGTACCCCCATGATGCGGCAGTTCAGAGCGTCGCAAACTTGGTTGGTTTACATCGCAGTGAACAGGATGCGGAGACAGCAGAGCTCGTTGGCCAGTAGAGCTCTTTGGCCAACCGTAATCTACGGAAGTTGCCATCATAGCGTACCGTAGTGCTACTTATAGTTCGTGATCGCTTTGTTCGGGGAGGGGTCAAAAAACTTTCTGAAATTTGTACGTGCTCTTTGAATTTCGGGGAAGGCCGGACCAGATTTTGTGGGCATGATACAAATTTCGGGACCCCTTCCAAAGTTTCGGGGCTTTTCAAGCTGCAGCTTCCAGTCAGTCTCCCACCGGGAACCCTTAGGCTCATGGTCTCTCACCATTTTCGCACTTTGGAAACGCCCTAGCAAATTCTGGACCGATCGTACAGTTCAGTACCAGTGGCAACGACCTAATAACCAACCGGCCGGGCCAATACAGTGTTTGGGTGGTCGCTACTGAAACGTGTCTTCATGTGGCTGAAACTATATTTTATGTATTTAAGAGCTGATTTCCGCCTTGAAATCCTAGTTTTTGCGAAGTTTGATCGACCGGCTTCGGAGGGTACGATATTTCGGGGCTGCAGTCCCTTGGGATACCTTAGAATTTGTACGTGCTACATATTCGTGGTGCCTCCCGAATTATTGTAGCACGAACTATAAGTAGCACTACGGTAACTGCGCGAGAAAGCATACGTTTTTCAAATATTGCTGACACGAAGAGGGAAGGTCTTTGGCCCAAACAACAAATCTTTCCTGAGAATGAATTCACACAGCGAAAGTGCTCGAATGATCGAGGAGGGATCGTGGCCAGCTCTGCAATGTGAAATTTGAAGCCGAGAGCGTCTCGGTGCGTGCGAGCACCGTTGTTTCACGTGAAGTAAAGTTGTGTTTCAGCTATTTTCGGTATCATCTGTTGCTTCTGTTAACTGAAATTTTGTTACCCGTTTGAGAATTATTTTGGTAACTGGGTTGTAA